TACTAATCTTGTTTCTTTGGCACTTCATTATCCTCATGTCGCCAACCCAGTGTGCAGGGTGGCACAACTTCTCTAGACTGCTCATCCTGCATGTCGACACAACAGATTAGAGGGAAAGTCTGGATTGTAAATGTCAGCAGAGTGCATCTTCACGTCTGCCAAGGTCGCATGAAGACATACAAGGGAAGCGGAAACGGTGGGGCTGGATGGCAGGAAGTGTCACTATGGGATGCCGATGCCTGGGAGTACTTTGCATGCAGGTTCACTGGCAGCAGATGCAAAGCCAAGGCCAAGTCCAGGGAAGAGTGTCTCACAAAGCATGCCAAAGAAGATGAAAGGATGCAATGTCTTTGTTCGTTCTGACATGCATGTGTAAAAGTGGTCTTGCATCCCTGCTCATGATGGAAGCCAGTGTGGGCAAGGGCGCCAATGATGCCCACAGCTTGAAATTCAGACTTGCCGACCCCATGTAGACAGATCCCCTGTCCCCTATATGCTGCTGTGCATCTGTTACGGTATCCTCCATGTGTGGGTTACAAGTGGAAACGAGAAAGGCCTGGAAGGACATCGGCGGCTCAAGAGGTGGCTGACCTGTTCGACGCAGTCTTCCAGCAGTCGCCGCCATCGGCAGCCGCATGAGTCTCGCAGCACCATCAATGCAGATGGGCCGCAGCAGTCACCCAGAAAGTGCAATCCCAGCATACTCCAAGCATCGTCAGAGGCTGCATGCAGGGTGCGTGGGCGGCATGTGTGGTGGTGCTGCCTGCCACTGCCAATCCTGCGGGAGCACAGGCATTGCAGCTGGTAGATGTGCAGCAGCCATCCCGCAGCACCTCCTGGTCGCCATCAACCATAGTCACCAATGCTCTGTGTCACTCCACTCACATCTTGAGGACGAGACTGAGGTCAGCACCCCAGGCGCCCAGCTCGCTCAGTGCTACGGGCTTGGCGGGTCCCTCCACAGCACCTGCTGTCTCTGGCAAAGGTGCAGCTTTGCCGTGTGCGACTCCATCTAGCTGACTCGTTGCAGGCTTTTGGTTGTCTCTAGAGGATATAGGAAGGGCAGATGGCTGAGCGCAGCATGATGCGCCATGGAGCAGAGAACCCACGCGCGACGGCTGCAGGCCCTGCAGACTGTAAAGTGCAAGCATCAGCTTGGGGATGTTGAGTCCGGCAGAGACTGGAACTTCCTGCAGCCAGACCAACCACCATGACGCATCTAAGCCTTAGCGCCTACATGACTGTTGTACACCCTTCCACTC